ACAAATGGAAATTATTTTAATCAGTTAAAATGTTGTTGGCAAAAAATGTTGTTCTGTGATCGATAGTAGAACAAACTCGGTCCATTTGTGCACTTTAAATCGATTTTATGTTCGCTTTGGTTAATGTTAATTTATAGAAAAGTTAAACCAATTTTTTTTAAATAATTCGATTCCATAATCGAATTCCATATTCATGATTCGAATTCGGCATATTTGAATTTTAGTTTTTGAAACTTTATTTCGTATGTTTGTTCCATTTTTGTTATGTTTTTCGTGCTTATTCTATCTTTCTTTTTCCCATTTTAGGTTATTTCTTTCATTTTTAGTTCGTTTAGTGTTCGATTATGTGTTTTCTCTTTATTTGAGTCTTTGTGAGTTGTTCGTGTATTTTTTTCCCGTTTTATGTTTCGTGTTGTGTCGTTTTTCTTATGGTAGGTCGGGGGTCGAGCGAGTTCTCTTTCCAAGAAAAGTTAATTTGAAGACATAAATGAATAAAGGAGTTCGTGAGCGACACATAGCAAAAACGGAAGTCAATTCCGAGTCCGGAAGCGTTTACGAGCCCGAACAAGGAATCCAAGAGTACTCGTCGCGGGCCGCGGGATGTGGTCGCGAGCGGCGAGCAATGTCGCGGGGCGCGAGTCAGAATACCAATTTTCCTGCTTCCCGAAGTCGCGGCTGCGGGACATGTCGCGGCCGCGGGACATGTCGCGGCCGCGGGATTACCTTCGTCGCGGGCCGCGAGTTCCTCCACGGCCGCGAGTCCTGCAGTTTGCTGAAATTATGGGTTTTTCTCCCTCTTTTCCTCCTTAGTGGTGATAGTGGCGAATTTTGAGCATGTTTTTGGGCACTTACATCTGAATTTTGGGGGTTAAACACTATAAATACACCTCCATTACAATGTATAATCATCCAACTCTTTATTTCATAATTTACTTCAAGAATTTCCTTCATTTTTCGTAAGTTTGTTCTAAGTTTGTATTGTGGTTTGTATTGAAGACATTGTTGGGATTGTATTAAGTTTGCATTTGCGCTTGTGGATTTCTCATTACAAGTAAGTTATCTACTTCATTTTATCTATGTTAAAGATGGTTTGTTTTAATGAGAATGATTATGTTAAATTTATCATGAACAACTAAACCTTCTAACTAGGATTAGGGGATAATCGTTTCGGTACGTTTTTACCTATGTGTATATCAATTACTAAATCTTTACGAGCTTTACTTATTTCATGATTGAATGCTTGATCATCATTTTAATCTAAACAATCGATTTCAAAACCGATAGGGGCGAAATTGGTAGAACTTGGCTCGTTTAGAATAGACATGTTCGGAAACGTATTGTCTATGTGTTAATTAACTCGTCAACTTACTCATTGATGTTTTTCCGCATATTACGAAAGTTAGTGAGAAAAAACCGCTAAATGAGTTAGTTGATTGAGCTTCTTAATCGAGTAATTGATATCCGTCAATTTTATGTAAAACCGAAAAAGATTGTCCCCGATACCCTAGTTAGTTACATTCCTTGGAATTATCTTCATCTTGCTAATTTATATCTCTTTGAATTATTTTCAATAGTATAATTTTGAATTGTTCTAGTTAAGAAGTATTAAGTAAAAAAAAACCAATCAACCATTTGAATTAGAATGTTTAGAATTACTTTTGTTTTTGTGATCGAATAAACGTACAAAATAGTCCGGCTAACCTTCCTTGAGAACACGACCCGGTGTTCGAATCTTTCGATTCTACTCCGGTAAAATAAACTACAACAAAATGGCGCCGTTGTCGGGGACGGTTTAGGAATTATTTCGTGTGTCTATTCATTTATTTTCGTGTTTTGCTTAATTCTTGTGATTTTCTTGTTTTTTGTGTTTCTCTTATTTCTTGTTCTATTTTTTCCGAGTAGTAGTAGTATTTTCGGGGCGATTGTCCTTAGCTCTTTTTCGTTAACGGGTGCTCGTAACGCATTGTTGTTTTTGTATGCGTACTAGGAGTGGACGTGTACTCATTCCGAGCAACAAGTCCATTAACGACGATCTACGAGAATTGTTTTCCAACCTTTCTCTCGAACCATCAAATTTCGACAAGCAAGGCGACATGGCCCGACACGAAGAAGAGGAAGTAAACAACCCCCGCGATATCTTCTCCGGGACTTAGCCCAACCGGTGATTGGCCCAGTGACTTCATGCATTCGATTGGGACCGGCAGCTCGAAATTACGAGCTCAAGACGATCCACTATAACCAACTCCCATCCTTCCATGGGCTACCCAACGAAGATCCGCTCCATTTCATCCGCAAATTTTACAACGTCCTTTAAACCTTTCCACTCCATGGGCTCAACGAAGACCAATTGAAGATGTGGTGTTTTCCCAAAACACTCAAAGACCGAGCTAAGGCTTGGTTTATCACGCTTGCTCCCGATTCCCTCAATACTTGGGGGCAAGTGTATTCAAAGTTCATCGGGAGATACTATTCCCATCAAAAGACTCAAGAGCTCCGATCAAAAATCGCCTCCTTCGCCCAACAACCCAACGAGCCACTCCACGAGGCGTGGGAACGCTTCATGGACCTCCAGAGGCAATGCCCACACCACAACTTTCCACCCGGTTTATTGGTGAGTAGCTTCTACGACTCTCCACCAAAACCTTCAATACATGGTGGACAATGCGGCCGGTGGAGATATCGGGGCAAAGACGGCCGAGGAGATGATGGAGATTTTTTAGACGATGAGTGCTAACTCGTCTCAAAAGAGCAGTCGAGGAAAGAAGACGATGGTGAATGAGATGGCCCCCGGAATAAGGCGATCACCGTATTGCGGAGCGGGAAAGTGGTCGACAACCACGTCAAAATGCCCGAGTCGAAGGACCTCACATCAACCAACCAAACCAAGGATGCAGAAAATGATGTCGAGAAGAGCACACAGACCGACACGAGAAAACCGGTGGAAGGTCCGAATTTACACAAATCATCAAATCCATTCAAACCAAGTCCTTTCAAATCGAGCATTCCCTTCCCGGGCCGACTTCGAGATGATAGACAAGAGAAGCAATTCCGGGACCTTTACAACATGCTCTCGAAGGTTAATGTGAACTTGTCGCTTGATGTTATCAAGAATATGTTGTCCTACGTCAAGTTTTTCAAGGACTTGGTGACTAAAAGAGGAACTTCGAGGACGGAGAGAAGGTCGTGGTGTATGAGGCGTCAAGTGCGATGCACCAAGATCTACCAAAGAAGGAACGAGATCCCAGAGGCTTCGTGATAAAAATAGCCCTTGGGAATGGAAAAGAAGCTTTGGGGATGCTTGACCTCGAGGCCGGAATCAACCTCATGCCATTCTCAATTTTTCAAAGGCTCGGTCTTGGGGATGCCTGACTGGTCCATTCGATATCCCAAGGGAGTGGTGGAAGACGTGCTTGTACGTGTGGGAGAGCTCATTGTTCCCGTAGATTTTGTCATTCTAGATGTGGGAGACGTACAAGAAAACGGGAAGGATCACACCATCCTTCTCGGGCGACCATTCATGGCCACCACCAACACCCTCATCGACGTGAAGAACGAGACCCTCAAAATGACGGTCTTAGGCGAGTCGGTGTCTATCTCTGTCCGGGAAGCCACATCCTCATCTTCGGTAAATTTCGTTGAGGAGTGCGCGTTTGTCGATGTAACCGACCCTTTTATTGAAGCGATGGTCGTACGAGAGTTCGAAGAGAAGAACTTACCCGACCTCGATGATGATGATGAGCCGACCATTGACCTAAGTGAAACCAACCAAACCGCCCCACGAACCGTTCCCACATTCGAGCTCAAAGAATTGCCCCGTCACCTCAAGTACGTGTTCCTCGAAGACAAGGAGCAAAATCCAGTCATCATTTCCGCCGAGTTCACCCGGGAGGAAGAAAGAAAGTTACTCGAAGTGCTTCAAAAGAACCATAAAGCCATTGGGTGGAGCCTCGGAGACCTCAAAGGCATAAGTCCCTCTACATGTATGCACCGAATTGTCCTAGAAGAAGGTGCCAAACCCTTTCGGGATAGCCAACGGAGGCTTAACCCGAACATGATGGAGGTAGTAAAGACGGAGGTCCTCAAGCTCTACTCGGAGGGGCTTATTTTTCCAGTCGCCGATAGTGAGTGGGTTAGCCCCATTCATGTGGTGCCCAAAAAAGGGGGCATAACCGTTATTGAGAACGAGAAGAAGGAAATGATCCCCACCCGCATCACTACCGGGTGGAGAATGTGCATCGACTACCGGCGACTCAACGCCGTAACAAAGAAGGACCATTTCCCGTTGCCGTTCATTGATCAAATCCTCGACCGCCTCTCCGGCCACCAATTCTATTGCTTCCTCGACGGACTTTTCGGTTACTACCAAGTGGCCAGAGCACCCGAAGACCAACCGAAGACCACCTTCACGTGCCCTTTCGACACCTTTGCCTTTAGACGAATGCCGTTCGGACTTTGCAACGCACCCGGAACCTTCCAACGGTGCATGTTCTCCATATTCTCCGACATGCTCGAGGACTGTCTACAGGTATTTATGGACGACTTTTCTATTTTCGGTGATTCATTTTCTCATTGTCTACATAATTTATCTCGTGTCCTTGAGCGTTGCATCGAGTCTAATTTGACATTGAGTTGGGAAAAGAGTCATTTCATGGTGAAAAGTGGAGTCGTGTTAGGGCATATCATATCTAGTCGGGGGATAGAAGTCGATAAAGCAAAAGTTGATGTTATTGAAAAATTACCCCATCCTATAAATGTGAAAGGCGTGCGTAGTTTCTTGGGACATGCGGGTTTTTATAGGCGTTTCATTAAAGACTTTTCGAAAATTAGCCAACCATTATGTCACTTACTTGCTAATGACGTACCATTTGTGTTTGATAATGCATGTTTAGATGCTTTTGCTACATTGAAAAATAAGCTTGTGACCGCGCCTATTGTTATTGCTCCCGATTGGTCTTTACCGTTTGAAATCATGTGTGATGCATCAAATCTTGCGGTTGGAGCGGTCTTGGGACAACGAGTAGATACATTACTCCGTGTAATTTATTATGCTAGTTTAACCCTAAACGGCGCCCAACTAAATTATACGACTACCGAAAAAGAGCTTCTTGCCGTAATTTTTTCACTTGAAAAATTTAGGTCTTACATTTTGGGATCTAAAGTGATTGTGCATTCTGACCATGCGGCCCTTAGGTATCTTTTGAGTAAAACTCAATCGAAACCTAGACTTATTCGGTGGATTTTACTTTTACAAGAATTTGATGTTGAGATTCGGGATAGAAAAGGTTGTGAAAATGTTGTTGCAGATCACTTGTCCCGCATTGTTCCTTCTGAGTCTTCACTTGCATTGTATGAACATAATTGTATAAATGATGATTTTCTATATGAGCATGCGAGTGAAGTAACTAGTCATCCATGGTATGCGGACATAGTGAATTATTTATCCGATGAAATCTTGTTGCCTAACCTCTCTTCACAAGAGAGGAAACGATTTGTTTTGATGTGCAGAAGCTACTTTTGGGATGACCCGTTTCTTTACAAGATATTAAAAGACGAGATTCTTCGGAGGTGTGTGCCCGAAGAAGAGCAATCGGACGTGCTTGCCTTTTGCCACGAGCTTCATTGTGGAGGACACTTTGGGGGTCGAAAGACCGCCTTTAAGGTCCTCCAATCGGGTTTGTTTTGGCCTACTCTTTTTAAGGATGCTTATAACTTTTGCAAAACTTGTGATCGTTGTCAAAGGATCGGGAATATCGGTCCTAGAATATGAAATGCCCTTAGTTAGCAATCTTCAAGTCGAAATATTTGATGTATGGGGCATCGATTTTATGGGACCATTTCCTAAATCCTATGGCTTCGAATATATTCTTCTTGCCGTTGATTATGTGTCCAAGTGGGTCGAGGCTATCCCCACACGGACGAGCGATGCTAAAGTGGTTATAAAGTTTTTGCAGGGTAACATTTTGAGTAGGTTTGGATTTCCACGAGCTATCGTGAGTGACGGGGGCAAGCACTTTTGCAACCGAATTTTCGAGAAGTTGATGAAGAAGTACAACATTTCACACAAGGTGGCGACACCATACCACCCACAAACGTCTGGACAAGCGGAGACGAGCAACAAACAAATTAAGACGATTCTTGAGAAGACGGTGAACTCGTCCAGGAAGGATTGGTCGAGTCGACTTGACGATGCGCTATGGGCCCAACGGACAGCGTACAAAGGAGTCTTGGGGATGAGCCCATTCCGGCTCGCCTACGGAAAAGCGTGCCACCTTCCGGTCAAAATCGAGCACAAGGCGTTTTGGGCAATAAAGAAGATGAATTTTGATCTTGATACCGCCGGAAGAGAGAGAATTTTGCATCTCTTGGAACTCGAAGAATTGAGGAACGAAGCGTACGAAAATTCGAAGATTTACAAGGACAAGGTCAAACGCCTTCACGACGCTTGAATTGTCCGGAAGGAGTTGGTACCGGGCATGAAAGTGCTCCTCTTTAATTCCCGACTTCGTCTATTTTCGGGAAAACTTAAGTCCCGATGGAGTGGCCCGTTTCTTATTGACGAAGTACTGTCTTTCGGGGCCATCCGACTGCGGAACCCGTCTACCGGCGAATTCTTTATCGTGAACGGACAAAGAGTCAAGCCCTATTTCAGAGAAGAAATCCAGAAGAAGCACGTCGAGACCATAAATCTCGACGAACCACGGTATACCTGATCGTGCGAGTGTCGAGCTCACGGCAATAAAATCGAGCACCTTTGTACATATCCATATCTATATATATTTAAAAAAAAAAAAAGTTCGTCGCGGGCCGCGAGAGTTGCCACAAGTCGCGAAGAAGGTCACGAGGATTCTTCATTTTTTTCTACCCTCTGAAGTCGCGGCCGCGGGGGGGAGTCACGGCCGCGGAACCTTTGTTCGCCGCGGGCTGCGAGAATGGTCGCGAGCAGCAAGGTGGAATTTCTGTCCTCTGAAGTCGCGGTCGCGAGGTTCGCCGCGGGCCGCGAGACCAGTAAAATTTTTCCCAGCACTTTTATGTCGCGGCCGCGAGTCCTTCCGCGGGACGCGACTTTGCAAAAATATTTTCCAGGTTTTTTAAGTCGCGGCCGCGAGTCCCTCCGCGGGCCGCGACTATCCCGATTTAAGCAGAGAACAAGAACGAAGCAGTCATTTTTTTCGAACCCCATTTTCTCTCAAACACCTCCGGCGATTTTCTACCACACAGCAACACTTTCGTTTTTTTGAATCTTGGCAACGAAGTTCATCATCACATCCGAACATTCGTCATCTACTCTCGAATTCCATCATACAAGTGACGAAAAACCGATAACCCTAGGCCATTTTTGCCGGCCACCTGCTCTCTCCGGTACCGATTCCGACGGCCACTCTCACCGGCAATTGTCCCCTCCGACCACGAACGACTACCGCAACAATCACTTCCCACCAATCCCCATTCCTCGTTCTTTGGTTTTACACGCGACTCCCTACGGATTTTGGTGTTCAGACCCGAGTCAAATTCCGGTAATCATAGCTCTCCTTTTGATACTTGTGGATTGTATTATTGATTGGGAGATTTGATGCGATTCCATTGCCATATATTGGGTGAAAGCATTGTCATTTTCATCCAAGTTCTCTACCGGATACTCTTGCTCACAAGGTGTTTGTTGAATTGCCCCAAAGACATTGACATGGGTAAAAAGTTGGGACGTCAATCGAATACCGATCAAGCCGGACCCTCTAACCCCGGGAAACGAAAATTGACCCAATCCTCGGGCCAAGGGAACCGCAAAGCCCCTCAAGGAAGTGACCGGGTCGACCTCCGACAACAATACGGTGCCTCTTTCCTAATTTACTCGAGGAAAGAGGGCGAAATATATTCTCGTCTTTCCCAAACGGAAATAGTGCGACCAAAGAAGATCGACTGGGACGTGTTGAGGAGCTTGGGCATCATTGCCGACGTCAAGAAATATTTGGGAGTACTTAAACTCCTAAATTATGCCCAGATCGAGGAGAAGTCGTATCGGAGCCTTATGCTCGAATTTTTTAGCTCGTTTGTGCTAGCTGACGGGAACGAGTACTTCACTTGCCGGATGCGGGGGAAAGATGTCAAAATGGATAACGACGTGATGAAGAAAGTCTTCGGGTTCAACCTAATTGGAAAACGAAGCAAACCGGCGGATTTCAACGCAAAGACGAGTTGGAAGGAACTTTCCCCCGACACTACATGGGACTCCCGTGGCATGCCGAACAACTTAGTTCAAGACTTAGCCACAATGGTTGTGCAGCGGTTCATCGCCTATAACATCACGGGGAAAAAAGAGGCAAACAAACTAAGTGAAACCGAGCTCTATCTTGTATGAGCAATGCGCGCGGGAGTGAAGGTGTGTTCGATGACCTTTTTGCAAAACTCCTTGCAAGAGGTGGCTCTCGGAAAACGTGGCATACCGGCTCTCGGACACGTTGTGACGGCATTGGCCAAACACTTCGGCATCCCCGATTAACCCGTATTTATCGACGCGACGTGGTCCATGGAAGGCGAGCCAATGAGGTGTATTAATGAGCATGAGCTCCGGCAAGCTGACCTCATTCAAATCCGAACCACATCACGGGAGTACACGAAGAGAAAGGCCTACGACACCTATTTCAAGAAGCTCAAACGAGGTGAGGCACTTACCACTGATCAGGCCGGGACATCCCGACAGCCGGTGGACGATGACGAGCACAACCCGATGAATACGGATGAAGAACACTATTACCTACCACCACCTGACCCGGAACCAGTTGAGCACCATCACACCGACGTCCCACCTCAACAACCACCGGAATGGTGGGCGACTTAGACCTCCTTCCAAACCCAATATGCCTCCGACATCCGAGACATCCACACCCGCTTCGATGCCCAGGACAATAGGTGGGCGAACCTCGAGAGCCGACAGAACACTCAGTGGTCCAACTGGGAGACACGGCAGACGAACCAGTGGAATACTTAGGGAGAGCCGGCAGCAGACCCAGTGGACAGACATGGGCTCTCGTTTCGACGGCCTCACCGACGGGCTCCAGTCCATTCGCGAGCGTCAGGATCAGCAAGACGCTCGCATGGACCGTTGGGATCAGCGCTTCACCCAGTGGGATACCTATTGGGGTTCGGGATCGAGCAACCCCGATTTTCCACAACCACCACCATCGGATGCACAGTGATTTCTCGCTGTGCTCTGTACGTCCTTCTTTCCCTTCTTTTTGCTTTTGAACAGTTTATTTTATTTTTTTTTGTGTCGATTGATTGCGTGGTTTAACCTTTTTACACTGCGGATACACAATGGGGACATTGTTTCATTCTAAGTGTGGGGGGGTTTTTTGTGTGGCTATGTGAATTAATTTTTAGAATTGTTTTTGTTTATTTTCTTTCTACGATTTTGTGTTATGTTTTTTAGTATAGACTGTGGTGAATTGTGGGAGTAGTCAATAACGATTGATTGAGCTAAGAAGTTGCGATAATATGAACAAGTGATATATCTCGATAAAATACTTGGTTGTTTTGATTGACGAATATTTTACCTTGTGAGGTTTGAGCCATGTTCGTTTCTTTTCTTGTGTGATATTGGTCGGAATTGTGGTCAATTAGGATTTGCCTTGAGACTACTTTGAAATAAATTAGTCGAATTTTTGTGATATGAATATGATGGAGGCATTCGTTGTATTATCCTTATTTTTAGTAAATACATCAGCTAGTCAGCCCCTTTGAGCCATATTGATTCTTTCTTTAAACACCCCGTGATGATTATATTTTGAATTGCGAATTGTAGAGATTGGGAGTTGATTAGTATCGATGTTGTAAATCATTAGAAAAAAAAAATCAAAATGAAACCAAAGGAAAATGAATATCCTAAGGTTGTCATTATTTTTTTTTTAGAAAAAGAAAACAAAAAAAAAAAAGAGGAAGATTGAATAATAAGGATATCGTATTGGTTTTGAAGATATGGGAGGAAACGGTTGATATTTAACAACCGGAAAAAGTCTATGCTCATGGTTAGGTAAATGAATGGAGAAAAATTTGATTATTGTTTAGCCACTTAGCCTATATTTATCCTACCCGATCCAAAAAGCCTACGTTACATCCCTAAAAAGTCCTCTTGATTCATTATTTCATTGATTTGATTGTTTTAAAGTAAAAGTTAGACGATAGCCAAATTCATGATTGATTCGATTGATGACCAATTTGAGCGTATCCCATTGATATTTGAAAAGAAATTGAGTGAGGCATACATGATATAAATATGCACTTGAGAGTCTATGTTTTTCAAAATAAACCAAGTTATTAGTTGAGGTGTGTTCTTGGGATTATTTGAATCCTTCTTGACTTAATTGACTAGTTTGAGATTAGTTTCGCTTGAAATCATTGTCTTTACTCATTGGTGTGTTTTCTTTTCTTTTCTTTTTGTTCGGGACGAACAAAGGTTTTAGTGTGGGGGAGTTGTTTGTCCCATTTTTGTTATGTTTTTCGTGCTTATTCTATCTTTCTTTTTCCCCCATTTTAGGTTATATCTTTCATTTTTAGTTCGTTTAGTGTTCGATTATGTGTTTTCTCTTAATTTGAGTCTTTGTGAGTTGTTCGTGTATTTTTTTTTCCCGTTTTATGTTTCGTGTTGTGTCGTTTTTCTTATGGTAGGTCGGGGGTCGAGCGAGTTCTCTTTCCAAGAAAAGTTAGTTTGAAGACATAAATGAATAAAGGAGTTCGTGAGCGACACATAGCAAAAAACAGAAGTCAATTCTGAGTCCGGATAAGCGTTTACGAGCCCGAACAAGAAATCCAAGAGTACTCGTCGCGGGCCGCGGGATGTGGTCGCGAGCGGCAATGTCGCGGGGCGCGAGTCAGAATACCAATTTTCTTGCTTCCCGAAGTCGCGGCCGCGGGACATGTCGCGGCCGCGAGATTACCTTCGTCGCGGGCCGCGAGTTCTTCCGCGGCCGCGAGTCCTGCAGTTTACTGAAATTATGGCTTTTTCTCCCTCTTTTCCTCCTTATTGGTGATAGTGGCGAATTTTGAGCATGTTTTTTGGCACTTACATATGAATTTTGGGGGTTAAACACTATAAATACACCTCCATTACAATGTATAATCATCCAACTCTTTATTTCATAATTTACTTCAAGAATTTCCTTCATTTTTCCTAAGTTTGTTCTAACTTTGTATTGTGGTTTGTATTGAAGACATTGTTGGGATTGTATTAAGTTTGCATTTGCGCTTGTGGATTTCTCATTACAAGTAAGTTATCTACTTCATTCTATCTATGTTAGCGATGGTTTGTTTTAATGAGAATGATTATGTTAAACTTATCATGAACAACTAAACCTTCTAACTAGGGTTAGGGGATAATCATTTCAGTACGTTTTTACCTATGTGTATACTGAATCTTTACGAGCTTTACTTATTTCATGATTGAATGCTTGATCATCATTTTAATCTAAACAATCGATTTCAAAACCGATAGGGGCGAAATTGGTAGAACTTGGCTCGTTTAGAATAGACATGTTCGGAAACGTATTGTCTATGTGTTAATTAACTCGTCAACTTACTCATTGATGTTTTTCCGCATATTACGAAAGTTAGTGAGGAAAAACCGCTAAATGAGTTAGTTGATTGAGCTTCTTAATCGAGTAATTGATATCCGTCAATTTTATGTAAAACCGAAAAAGATTGTCCCCGATACCCTAGTTATTTACATTCCTTGGAATTATCTTCATCTTGCTAATTTATATCTCTTTTATTTTCAATAGTTTAATTTTGAATTGTTCTAGTTAAGAAGTATCAAGTAAAAAAAAAAAAAAACCAATCAACCATTTGAATTAGAATGTTTAGAATTACTTTTGTTTTTGTGATCGAATAAACGTACAAAATAGTCCGGCTAACCTTCCTTGAGAACACGACCCGGTGTTCGAATCTTTCGATTCTACTCTGGTAAAATAAACTACAACATCGTATATACCTATTTGGTAGCTGTCATGTAATATACCTATTTAGTGTATTGATATTGTGATTGAAAAAAATATAATTGTTGGAAATTAAATTATTCAAATTGTGATTGCAACGTCAAATATGTTAAATTATACATAGATACATCATTTGTGTCCAATTAAAATAAATGAACAATTTTATATGGTATTATGTTTATTTTATTTCATATATAAATCTTCGTTATGTAATTATATTATTAATATAGCAGTCTGTAACATATATGAATATCGAATCCTTTGTTCATTGTGTTGCATAATTGTATAAAAATATTAGTTGGAAAAATTAATGTTTTCGGTTTTTGTATGAAAATTCCGAATATAGATGGTACAAATTATATTTGGTATGGATAGAAGTGTATTTGAAATCTTTTTTAACAAAATCAGTGGTATGAATTTTATTGGGGGAAAAATTGCACCATTCGTCAACTAATGTGGCACCTAGTCAGATTGTCCGCCACATCAGCTTTTCCGGCAAAAATGAGCACCAAAACCTCGACTTGGACGAAAATTGCACCAAAAGTAAAAGAAAAAAATTAATTAAAGGACGAAAGTACAACTCGGATATAATTAGTGGACAAATGGTGCAATTTTCCCTTTCATTTGGTATGGGTATGAAGTCAAAAATAAATTACTCAATGAACTTAATTTTTTTTTATTTGAATAGACCATACAAAAACAAATTCACTTTAATTATTTAAACCATATTAATTAAACCATATAAATTTTTTTATTATAAAATTTGTTTGAAAACGTATTTCGACTCAAATCGAATATGTTCGAATATTTTAAAGGAACTGGGTACGAATCAAAAAATGATTTTGTATTCAAATCGAATATGAATTCGAATCCTTGAATATTTTAACGAATCTGAATCAAATGACACAGGATCTAATGATCGAAAAGTAGTGATTGACTTTTTTTGTTCTTTTTTAATTTATAATATTGATCTAATTTTTAAAAATTGCTATATTTATATACCCAATAGTTTTTAACATTATAAAAACTATATTCATTAAGTATGTAGTACTTTATTTTATTTGCATTTGTGCATATTTATTTAACATTATAAAAATGATATGAATAGTCATGACAATGGAATAGAGGACGGAGAGACGATTATCTTCAAATACATCAGTTCATGATCCATGTTTCATGTAATGTTTTTTGATAAACTTGGATCCATAACTTCCACTCCTGAACTACGACAGCATAATGGTCGACATGATTTATGATGCGTTATTTGAAATGAAATTATCATTACTCAAAATTAAACATTCTATTGGTCTAAATTGAATGTTATAAAACATATGTTATGGATGTTTGAAATTAAAATATTTTCTCGTAAATTACAAATATTATTAAATAATTTTTTGACTAAAACACTAATAGGATGTTTCCAAAAATACATATAATCATGGTATATTCATGCGTTTTTCACCAAATAAAACTTATCGTTACTATTCACTAAAAATCTGATCTAATTAATATA